AGACCCGGCTGAAATTTGAATTCATTGGAACTTAGCGACTGCGGGAGCTAATAAGGAGGGACTTTATGAAATCACCCAGCTAGGGTTCTGCTTGCATTCCGAGCCACTTCTTGCCTCTTTGCTGTTTATTTTTCTTTTGAGCCCAAGTTCAATAAATAAACCCAACTAACAATTAAAAAGTCCCCAAATGATTCTAGATTGAAAAATGCAAAAATAGCCTGGCTGGCAGCGCACTGGCAGTGGAGTTTGATTAAACTCCCTAATTGCATTCACAGGAGTGGGCAGGCTCACAATTCGCTCGCACTTACAGCCCGAGCTGCTCATGAAAAACTTCAATTACCACTAAAAATGGGACACACTCACAATGCTTAAATGCCCTTCCTGTCTGAGAGCTGCCTTCTAAGCCTCGCACACCTGATGTGGGTGAGATCCTACTCTGTCTCCTCATGAACTCGGTGGGTGGTTCACTTTCCTACCCTGAGCCAGCAGCCCCAGTGTCCCCTGGCCACAGCCTGGACCTGTGACCTGCTTGGCCAGGACGACTCTTGCTGGTCTCGGGCTGCTGTCTGCCTTAGGGAGAGGGAGAGCTGGCCCATGGGAAAGGTCCGTGTGGGGAGAGGGGAGCCAGGGTGGAGGAAGGAGCCAGGGGGGCTCCTTGGAGGTCTTCATGGGATTCGGCTTTGCTGTGGAAGGTGGGCGGACAGGAGCAGGGTGCAGGGTGGCTGGCTGGGGGCTGTCCAGTTTCACACACTGCCTTGCAACCAAATGACCCCTGATGGCTCAGGAAGGTGAGCGCTCACTCATGAGGCTGGGCTCAGACTGTGTCCCTGCAACCCAGAATCAAACCTCATCTGTCTCTGCTTTATCTCTTCCACTCCAGGACCACTGGTTCCCCTGTACCTTTGTGAGTGCCCCGGGCACAGCCCAGCTTTGGGATTTCTCTGCATATCGCAGGCGAGCTATGCAGTGGTCCCTGGCGAGCTTCCAGTGTGTCAGCCCTGCCAAGCAGCTCCCTACGCCGAAGCCCTCCCTGGCTTCTCCCCTGCCGCATCCCCCTCCCTCCAGGAAGCACAGACCACACAGGCTGGGGCAGGAGCCTTCTGTGCCCATTTAGCTGGAAAGATACCTTCACCCTTTAAGCGTTTGCTTTCCCACCTAGAGAATGGAGCTAAATCTGTACATAAAATTGCTAAGCAAAGCACTTGGAAATCCAGAAGGTGAAGGCGGCTACCTGTAGCATTGTTGTAGCGTGCTATAGGCACTTAATATGTATGGGGTACGATTAAAAATATGATGAATGTGTACATTAAATAGAGTTGTTATAGTAAGGAACAGATCTCCAAGAACCCCCCAGTGTTCCCCTTCTCTTCCAGCACGCTTCTCCTAACTTTTTTGTCCCTTTCTGAAGCAGTTCTGGAAATCTTCTTTCCTGAGTGTCTTTAGCTGGACAGTTGCAGCTGCCATGGTGTCCTGAGTCGATTCAAACCATTGACCTTTCATGGTCACTTTGACTTTGAGGAAGAGCCAGAAGCCACATGGTGCCAGATCGGTGGATAAAGTGGGTGAGGACCCTGCAGCGTTCTTAGGAGCCTGCCTCTCCATGGCTGGCGCCCGGCAGCAGCATTTCCATATTTATGATCACCTTTCATCTGAATTTATTTCCCTTTTCTTTTCTTTGAGTCACTCTGTTCATCTAATTTCTCTCACTGTATCCGCCCAGCCCTCGCTGTCACTATGTGACAGATTGGACCATGCATCACTTTCCCATGCGGTTTATTCTGAGAGACGCATCCTTAACTGAGTTCCCAGTCATGAGAACCTCACAGAGTACACTCCCACAGAGCAAGATGGTCACCATGTCCCAAGGTGATATGACCTGGTGGGCCCTGCTTCCCACAAGCCTTCTGTGGGTGACGGAAGTGTCCTTGTGGGGTGTGGGGTGTTCTGCAAGGGCTGGGCATGGTTTGTGTGTCTTACACCCAGCATCACATCTAGATCTCCATGCCCTTAGGTCCCCTCTTCTCTGTGCCTTACCTCAGTGCCCATCTCCTGATGTATGGGTGCCCCAGACAGCCCGGATTCCAGCCTGGCCTTGCTTTCTCCTGGGGCTGGACCTGGGTATGTGGGAGTCCTCTGGGGGAGGGCCAGACATCTGCCTGCAAGGCTGGACCTTAAACTTCGATACTGCCTGCCACCTCCTCTGTGGGTGTTCCCACCCGGCCTCTGCTCAACCCTCTGACCCTCTGGGCAGCAGCTTCCATCTGGCCTGGCCTTGAGTCTCACATGGTCCTGAGCCGTGGACCCTCTCAGCCCTGCCTGTTCCACAGTCCTTGTCCCTTGGGCTGTCATTTGTCATGGTGGTGGCTCGCCTGAGCCTACCCAGGTGTGGAGTATCGCTCTGCCTCTCTGCCACTTCATCCACAGCTCCTTCCTGCCCACTTCTGCTGCCCTTTCTGCTCTCGTCTCCTCCTCCCTCCAGTCACCAGGTTCTCTTTTCCCTTCATCTCCAGCCAGGCCCCTTGCTTTCTACAGCAGCTCCCAGCATTAAGATCTGCAGAAGCGGTCACTGCCTTGGCAGGTCCACTTCCTAGGTCTTTAATGACATCACCAATTCCCTCTGCACAAAAAGGATATTTTCACAGGTTCTAGGGGGAAGAAGAGGAGGAGGATGAAGATGAGGAGGAGGAGGAAGAGGAAGAGGAGGATGGAGGGGAGACATCTTCAGGGGCCAGGATTCAGTCACCTGTAGAGATGGCGACTTCCACCCCCCAGTAGGCCACCTCGAGGCTGGTGGTGCTCAGCTCAAATGGATGAAGGCTGGGTCCTTAGCCCGATGTGCTTGGCCAGAGCCCTGTTGATAAGACAGCCCTGTTCTCTTCCCACTATGGAATCCTCTGCTATGCTTTCCTTCTCAGTCCTGTGCCTGGGCCTCAAGGTGGCTCTTCCCTCCCCTCTCCTCAATGTATCACCACCCTCTTAGAACTGCCCCTGTCCTGGCCATACTCAGCCCTGACCTCCAAGGTGACCACACAGGGTTTGCATTTCCAGGGAAGGCTGATCCTCTTGAAACACTGTTGCACCCTTTGCCCAGGTTCCTCGCTGAGTAGTAGATGAATCCCCACCAGCTCTTCAGAGAAAGACCCTAAACCCTGTCCATGATTCTCCAGGCTCCACTTGGCCTGGCTCCCCCGTGCATTGTGTCCAGCCTCGTCTCAGCTGGGGCTGCTTAGTTCCCCTGGTCTCCTTGCAGTCCCTCAGGACGCCTCATCCCGGCCTGTGCTCAGGGCTGCCTGTTTCTCTGCCCAGTGGCTCTGTCCCCTCCTGTGTGTACCAGCTCTCACCTCCTTGCCTCCCAGGAACCAGTCCTCTCAAGTTCTGTTCCCAAACCTTTCCCAACTCTCCAGAGGATGTCAGAGCTCCCACAAACAGGTGCTGGCGGCTCCGTGGACCTTTGCAAACTCTCCCTAGCACCTCACATGGTTTGTGTCATGCATTCATTTGTGTAGCTGCATGCTGATTTTTGATTCTTCTCCTGGAGAAGACAGACAACAAGGTAGATGCTGTGATTCATGACACAGCTGCCCCTGTGGGACCACAGCACTCACTTCCAGATGTTGGGGTTGTTAGTCAATGCAGACCTACATCCATGCACCTTTCTACAAACTGATGTTGGCCCATGGTGCCCCATGTCCAGTGACTGAACTACAAGAGGATGAAGATCTGGTCTTTTAGTCTAAATTCAGGACACTTCTGCATGGTGACCCCAGATCCAGCATTCCCCGTGGGATTAGCTGAGACCTTCCCTGTGACTGCATGGAAATTACTACATGGAATTTCCTACCTGAAATTCCATCCTTGGTTTAACACCCAGGTGCCCATTCAACACCCAGGGATGTAGGAGTGGACCTCAGATGCAGACTCTAGACTGAGATTGGAGCTGGATCACCCAGACCTAGTCCTGGTTGGCCTGATGACAGCAAAGACCCCATCAGCGATCCCTGGGTGAAAGGCCCTGGCATGTTAAAGAACACAATGATTCAAACTCGTGCTGTAGGTGAGGTGGGATAGAGCACTGGAGAGAGGGATGCACTGCAGGTGCAATTTCTCAGGTACGGAGGGAAGATGGTAATTAGATGTATTATGCAATAGTCGCTGGGGGGCAACCAATGGCTTACAGAGAGACAATGTGAGACTGAGAGTGATTAATCACCAATTAAGGGCTAAGCGTGAGAGCCTGAGGGCAGTGTATAAAGACACTCATCCTCCTGGAGGGCAGAAGAGTTGAGGATCACACCATAATTATAACAGCAACAGCCAGTTCCAGAAGAACTTCTTCTTAACCCTGCAGGCCTGCTATGCCTAGTCAGATCCCAAATAAGGAGGGAGCAGGCCATCCTCATTTAGTACCTTCCTTTCTCTAATCCTGCTTCCCTTACCCCTTTAAGTTAAATTTTTCCTGCGGGAAAATGGAGTGGGTTATTGCTCAAGCCAGCACCAAATCAATGGAGATGCTGGCTGACTAAATCATAACACAGAACAGGAGACACAGGTGGGGATAAGGAGGGTGGGATGCTGTTGTGATTGGAGGGTTACAGGTGTGCCTGAAGTCTGTCTTATTGACCTTCCTCTTATAAGTTCTTCCAGGAGAGGAGACCATCAAGAATCCTGGGGCAGCTGTTCCCAGATGGAGTAAACGCAGCACATCAGGCAAGTCCTGGCAGCACAAGGGGTGGACTGTAGCGCGTGCTGTGATAAGCAGCTAAGATCCCACTTCAGGACCAGGCATGCAGTTGTTCAATGCCTGGAAGTTTGACTGTCATCCCTCTCTGAATGTTTCCTTCTACCAAAAGAAGCTCCTTTGCCCAAGGTCACTCACCTTCTCCAATGTCCTATCAACGCAAGGCTGCAAATGCTCAGCCGTTTCCACTTGATGTGGAGCACCCCTGATGGTCACCCTCAGCCCCAGAGCTAATTTCCTAGAAAATTACCTACACCTTCCCTTGTGGCTGAATGGTGGGAGTTAAGCTTTTCCTTCAGCCTAGTTCCTTGCTTCCTCTCCACCTTCCTGTTGTGCTGTTCCCAAGGACACTCTCCCATCGCCCACTCCCTGAAACTCTCAGAATCTATTTGTTTCCCAGGGAGCCCACTTTTGTACTCATTGTGATCTGGCGGTCTTGTCCCCTCTGTCTTGTCCTGGGTTTTTCTCTAATTACAAGGTTCTCACTTACTGGACTGGCTCCAGACTCTCTGAGGATGCTGCTGTGATTCTGTGCCTGCCACTTTTTACCCAGGACCTGTTCCCACCACCTGCCTGTGTACTTTTCTCCAGCCTCTCCTGCCTGGACCATGCAACTCTAGAATGAGTCCTCATCCTGCGGGGAACCTGCGCGGAGGCCAGAAGAGGAATCATGAGCTTGCTGAGGGAGAAGGTACAGAGGTGAGGCTCACCAAAGTGCAAAGCTCATGAGTTTCTAGGGCTTCCTTTCCGTTAGGAATCCTTTGTTCCTCAAAGCCACTCTCCTTGGGGAATGACAGGAAGAGGGAGCAGGGTGCTGGAGTAGGGGCAGGGCTGGGGGTTGGGATGGGGTGAGGGATGAGCCCCCTCCTTTTTTAAAGATAGGTGGGAAGATGACTGGATCCCCCAGAGTGGCCTCACCAGGAGTTTCTGGTAGCTTCTCCTACAGCGCCTAGAGTCCATGGTGAGTTAGACCACAGTGGCTGGAAGGCCAGGCCAGTTAAACATCTCTGCAAGTGTCTGTGTTTGATGAAGTCCCCAGTGAGTTTCATTTTTCCCTTTTTGGCTACTTCTCTTGCTAATTTCCAAGCCTCCTATGCTTTGAGGAATCTTTAAACTGCGTGATTTGGATTCACTTACACATAGCTCATCCAAGTGCTATCCCAACGGCTTTCATAAGCCGTTCTGTTTTTCTTCCTTGGTCCAATGATTTACCCTTCTGTGATGCAAAAGTGACTTGCACACTAAGAAAGAGTTCAGGTTCCTTCCTGAAGGCAGACCGTCCAGGGTCCTGGTGAGATTTCGGAGTCGGCACGTCATCTTCCAGGCTGGTGATTTCTAGGCTTAACTGTTCATGAGAAGCAAAGGTGTTTTGGAAGGAAGCGACGTTTCTTCTTTCAGTTGCCGTAAGAACCTGCAGTATGAAAGGAGACTGAAGGTGGCTGGTTGTTTCCCCGACTTGTGGCTTTGCTGCAAAGGCCCCTGGGAAGCCCTTTTCTAGGTGCTTTACCATTCTGGCCAACCACATCCTGCAACTCCATGGGCAGGGCTAGACCCGAAGCAGCAGACTGCAGGGCTTGCTTCTCACTGGAACACACTGGTTGGTCACAGCCACCAGGAAAGGACAGGTCAGGAGCAGCTGTGACAGTTTGCAGGCTGACCTGGGGGGAGGAGTTAACTGAGCCTCTTCATGCTGTGGTGTTCTCTCACCCGCTGGCCCTCTAGGAACACTGATGTGAGATCCTTGTGCTATTTACAGGCAGGGGGGCACTTTCTGCCAGTTCCAAAGGCTCTTCCTTCCTCCTGCAAATGTCCAATGCCTCATTCCTGTGAGGATGCAGCATGCTTTGGATAGAAATGGTACAAAGTGGGTTCAGTGCCTGGGACCCGTCCTCACATAGCTTCTGAACTTGCTGTGTTTTTAGGCAGGCAACAGCTTAGTTCAGGGATGCTCCCTGGACCTGCTTGTGGGCCAGGCTGAGTGGTGACCAGGGACACTGCTGAGACCCTTGGAAGTCACATTGCCCTGAGGACAATGGAGCAAAGCAGGTATTGTGATTGTTTCAGGCAGCTACATCGTGTGAGGGTCTGGTCCTCACTCCGGGCAGCAGGGTCTGGTTTCTCTTCTTGCCTGATCCAGCCACCACGGATGCACAAGGAGTCCTCTTTTCACCTTACCCAGGTGTCTTCCAGGGCCTTGACCCTGCATGATGGGGAAGCACAGTTAATGGTCAGAAGAATCGAGAGGGAGCTATGTGCTGTGGGCTGGACCCACTGTCCTTTCTAACTGAGGCATGACAGTGGAGCTCACCAGAGGTCATTCAGTGGACACAGGCTGGGATCTGTGTGGCCACACTGTGTGTGTGTGCATCTGTGTGTGCACATGTGTGTACACACACAGATGCATGCACAGGTGAGAGAGGCTGAGTTGCTCCGTGTGGAAGACATTCGGGCTGGGCTGGCAACACCTTGCAACTTCTTCCCAGCAAGAACTAACTGTAGGTTGATTTCTTCTTCCCCTTCCATCCTTTCTTCCTCCTTCCTACCTTTGTTCCTGTCTTCTTCTTTCCCTCTGTTTCCCTCCTTCCTCCAGCAATTGGTACTTTTTTCCATGTGGCCTGCATGGCTTGTTTGCAGGCTGGCTGGAACCCTCTGCCTGACAAGGGAGAGTCTGTGTGCAGAGTTCAGAGGCCTGAGCCAGGGAGCCAGCCCGAACTACAGTGGACTCCACCCCTCTGGTCACTGGGGAGAATACGATGCCCATAGCCAGTAAATGCATCACCGCATGTCTTATAATTTCTTGGCAGTAGAAACGGGATTTGAACCCAAAACATTTTTTTTTTTCATAGCAGTTTGGGATACAGTATCTGGGGAAAAAAGAAAAAAAATACACAAGTAACTTATAATCACCTTAATTTCCTATGACTCAGAATTAACCATTTATCTCTCCTCACGGTCATTTCAGTGGGACTTCCCAGGCATCCACGTGGTTCTCTGGCAAGTGCACTTGACAGAAAAGGAAACTGAGGCACCCAATGTAGCAGAGGCTTGGCTGGAGGCTTCCCAGAACTTTAGATGGTATGCAGAGGTTCTCCTGATTTTCTTTGTTCAGAAGATCCGGAGGGTTATGTGTGTGTGTGCGGGAACTATCCTGCAAGCCATGGGGAGTTGCAGACCCTTTGGAAACCAGTAGAACCTTGCAGACCGCCTCTTGTGGGTACGGCTCACATCCTGGTCCCTTTTATTTTCTACAGAAGCAGTCATTATTATGAATTCAGTGTCTTCCTTTAAGTGTGTTTATGTGCATGCATCCATATAAAATACATTGCTTTGTTTTATGTCTAAACAGTTAGATGAACAGTGTTGTGTATCACATGGTGCAGACACTGGCAGCTTCTTACTGGTTCGCCCCTGGCGTGTCTCTGGAGCTGTTTGTGCTGATAGATAAGGATCAAACTCACTTCCCCACTGCAGCAGAGCTGATTCCTTTGCCGAATCTCAGCTGCCCACTGGCTCACTGGGATCATCCCCAGGCTGCATGCTCTGCCTGCCCTGAACTTCTGATCAAAGAACCTGGCAACCGGAAGGACTTCTCCCCACGACGTAAAGTTACTGGGGAGCCTGAAGCTAGGTCCCTTACCTGCCGCATGTCTCAGTTTGCTTTTCTGTCCTGGGCATGCATTTGCCAAAGAACTACATGGGTTACCAGGAAGTCGCAACAGAGCTCTGGCTGTCCCCCACGTAAGGGGCCGAGAGTGCAGAGGTGCATTTGAGATGGGACTCACTGCTCAAACTGCGCGTTGCTCTACTTCCTGTGCCATGAGAAGCCTGTTTGCATGTCAGGAAGGGTCTCCCATGAGTGAGGAAGTCTCACTTCACGGGTGAGGCCATTTCTAAAGTGGTTTCTAAGCGGGAGGGAAGGACCATTGGTCGGTGACGGGGCACATGTTACCTGCGTTAGCTTGTAAATTTTCACTCTGTGACGGGGACAATGCTGACCCTATTTGCAAACATGACAGCGGAGACACACAGAGGCTATGTAACCAAGTCCACGAGCCCCTCATGTCTGCAGGACTCCAGCGTCAGCTGCTTCCCTTCACTCTTGGCCAGAGAGGAAAAGTATTCAGCAATCTCCAAAGACGTGGGTTTTCCCTTTGGGTCCTGGGTGGAGAGTAATTTTGGCAGACATTCTTCTTGCTGAGCCAGATCCAGTCTTTCTTGGGGTTGGGTGTGATCATGTGACTTTCCTGGCCAGTGCTTGTGAGTCAAGCTGAGATCGGTCACTTCTGGGCTGGGGCATTTGTGAGCTGGTGTGAACCCTTCCCTCCTGCTTCCACTTCCCTGGCTTTGGTGGCTAGGGAAATGCATGCTGAGAACCGTCAGTTAGGGCAGCTCAGGGGCACTGTGACTGGGGAGTAAGTGCCTTTTGAAGCCGCAGACATGGAGAGTTGCTCGTTACTGTAGTGAGCCTGCCTGGTACTGACACATGTGGTCACGCTGTCCCTTGCATGAGGGGAGGAAGGAGAGAGAGCAGGTTGATAAGTGTGAGGACACAACCTTTTCTAGGTCTGGGGAACCTGGGCTGTGAAGGATGTTGTAGTATGAAGAAATCTGGCTTTGGAGATCACCTGAGCTACATCTGATGTCTCTTCAGGTTCCACTGTCTGAAAGGTGGATAGCAGAGCTCCTTCGGTGTCCCTCTTCGTGTCCCTGTGTGCACATGATGAGCTGTGATTATTATCTCACTGGACCAATGGAGTGAGCAGAGCTAACACCTATGCAGACATCCAGCCAGGTGCCCCAATCAACCCTCGATTGGTGGCCAGGACTCTTGGGAGATGCTCAGAAGAGACTCTGTGGTTCCACCTTTGAGATAGCAGACTTTTCTCCTGTGTTGCTCCCCTGATCTTTCTACAGACTCAGGAACCAGGGGCTCATTTGATACTCAGCAGATAAACAGACGAGCAGAAGGGTTTGGCCTTGTTAGCTCTGGGCACTCACTCTCTCTCCCCTCAACCCCTGGGAACTCCTGGAGGAGGGCCCAAGACATGTTCATTCATCTTTCCCCAGTGCCCAGCCGGTGTCAGTTCTCAGAAACATTTCCTTCAAGAGTGAGTCACCTTTGCCTTTAGAAATAACAGATCTGTGGGCCATTTCTCCCTAATGTGTAGGTGCCAAGCCCTGCCCTGGTTTTCTGGGTACCCTGTTTTGCCCAGCTAGCAGGATTCCATTCTGACCTCTGATTCTCTTTGGAGCCCCAGATCCAGATGCCCAGGAAGCTCACTGTCCCAGACCCAGAGCCACCCAACATTTCGTAACCGACTCTGGCAGCTCTCAGATGGTCCCCACACCTCCCTGATCTCAGGCCCCACCTGCAGCTGGCCGGGTACAGACCTCGGCAGGGGCAGGCTGGCAGCCGCTCTCTGCTTCCCAGGCAGACGTGTGTGGAGCAAGCCTGTTTATCAGACAACGCCTTGTAGCCAGAGGTGGTGGCTTAGCTGTGGCAGCAACGCCCGTGTTGCCTCACAAGCTGCTAGTTACTAAGATGTGCTCTCGGCCTCAGCGGGCAGATAAGCACCTGCCTTGGAGAGGGCCCTTGATCACAGGCTGATAAGCTCAGGAAAGGAAAAACACCACCACCAACAACAAGAAAAGGCTGAGCGACCCACCGTTGGAGGCTTTTTCATGTAGACATGGGTGTG